GTACTTTCGCATTGTAACCTGTTCCCCTAGGTTAGTGGGATATATTTCTTTAGAGAAATGGAAATAAAATAATAAATAAATATATTTTCATATTCAATTGATAAGTATTTCACTTATAATGTGGTATCCACATTTCATTTTTTACTTTTACACATACCTCAACATAAAACATATCTCACAAATGTCAGGGCTAATATTATCTGAACTTCAACTTCAATATTTGTAATTATACTTTCTTTCCTTCTTCGATATAGGTGCAGTGGGAAATCCGTTTCCTTCTGTTAAACTGAGAATAGTTGAAAAAGATGGCACAGTGGTTGCCCAAGGCGATGGTATGAATGGTACAATAACAACAAATGAAATGGAGGAAAGTGAAGGGGAGCTTCATGTAAAAGGACCATCAGTGTTTCATAAATATTGGAGAAAACCACAAGCAACCAAAGAAGAGTTCACTGAGGATGGCTGGTTCAAAACAGGCAAGAACAATTTCCTCTATCTTTATCGTAATCAAATCGTTTCCTTTGGGTGATTTAATAAAAATCAAAATAACAAGTGAAACTAATTCATCATATAGTGAATGAATATCAGCAAGGAGTGGAGCTGGCATTTAAAATAAAACTGTATTTATACTTTTTAATGTTTTACATATATATAAATATTAACTTATTACATTTTATTGAATTTGTTCATGGTCACATGAAGTTCACACATCCTGACAACCAGGTCAATGATCACATGAAGGTCACACCTCTTGACAACCAGGTCAATGATCACCTGGAGGTCACACATCCTGACAACCAGGTCAATGATCACATGAAGGTCACACCTCTTGACATCCAGGTCAATGATCACCTGGAGGTCACACATCCTGACAACCAGGTCAATGATCACATGAAGGTCACACCTCTTGACAACCAGGTCAATGATCACCTGGAGGTCACACATCCTGACAACCAGGTCAATGATCACATGAAGGTCACACCTCTTGACATCCAGGTCAATGATCACATAAAGGTCACACATCCTGACAACCAGGTCAATGATCACCTGGAGGTCACACATCCTGACAACCAGGTCAATGATCACATGAAGGTCACACATCCCGACAACCAGGTCTATAATCACATGGAGGTCACACATCCTGACAATCAGGTCTATAATCACATGGAAGTCACACATCCTGACAATCAGGTCTATAATCACATGGAGGTCACACATCCTGACAACCAGGTCTATAATCACATGGAGGTTACACATCCTGACAATCAGGTCTATAATCACATGGAGGTCACACATCCTGACAACCAGGTCAATGATCACATGAAGGTCACACATCCCAACAACCAGGTTCATGATCACCTGGAGGTCACACATCCCAACAACCAGGTTCATGATCACCTGGAGGTCACACCTCTTGACAACCAGGTTTATAATAACTATTTTTAATAGTTATTTAGAACTACGATTACCAAGTATTATCTTCTATATATCATATTTATCAGTCCGAGCAGCGTTTATTAATTTATAAACTCTATAATCACCTGATGGTCACACATCCTGACAACCAGGTCTATAATCACC